TTCACATACCACAAAATCTAATCATTTAAAATGTATAATTCAAGGGCTTTTCATATAGGCACAGATTTGGGCAACCATAAGTATGATCTAATTTTAGAACATTTTCATTAGTCCAAAAAGAAGCCCACTACTCGTTAACTGTCACTCTTCAACTGCCCCCCTCTTTCCCTGCCCTTGAAAACTAAAAAAATCTACTTTCTGTCTCTAGAGATTTGCCTGTTATGGATATTTAATATACATTAATTTATGCAATATGTGACCTTTTTGTGTTTGACTTCCTTTACTTAGTATAAGTTTAACCATGTTGTGTCATGTGTCAGTACTTCAGTCCTTTTTATTGCCAAGTAATAATCCATTGTATGAATATATCACATTTTATTTATTTATTGATCAGTTGATGGACATTTAGATTGTTTTTACTTTGTGGCTATTATGAATAATGCTGCTCTATGCACATCCGTGTGTACATTTTTATGGGGACATGTTTTCAGTTTTCATGGATATATATAAAAATGTGTGATTTTGATTTTTTAGCTCATGTTGTTCTCCCTCTCATGCCAATTTAGTTCATATTTATATTCATCAATTACAGAGGCAGCCTGGGGAAGCTCTATGCGGGGTAAAAGATTAACAGTCTGGGCCCTTTCTCTGTTAATCTTTTCATTTACCAGGAAAAATTCTTTATAAAAGACATAGGCCAAATTCCTAACTTCTTTGCTTCTCTTTTTGTCTTAATTGCCTTGGCCCTGCTGTGGCACTCATGCTTTGAGATACCGGTGTGGAAATAAGACCATTTTGGAAAGAATGTTCAGTACCTCTGGGTGACCCCTGCCAAGGTCTGATATTCAGAAATGGATGGGATAGTGAACGTGCAGGCTGATAACATGAACAGTCTCCCTTAGCCTCATGCATGGTCAGGGAAACCCGAGGTTGGAAATGTGTATGCAGTTATTGTGTTCACACTGCTCTTCATCATTCACCTTACTTTTTCTGTACATTTCTGGGAATAGCATTTTTAAAAATCCCATTTTCTCATAGATTTTTATGAGGATTTAAAAGTTTGTTTCTTATTTAAGTCTCCCATTTCTTTAAGATGTTGGTATTAATTTCGTTTTTCAGATGTGGAAACAGGCTTAAAGTGGTTGTAGAATTCTCCCATGATCACAGACTTAGTAAATGAAAGAAGCAAGGCTTGAATTCCGATTTATCTCATTCAAAGTTGTAGGACTACTAAGGGCTTAACAGTTAGTAACACTTAGTATTTATGCCACACATATTTTTGTATTTAAAATGAGTAGTCATGTACATGCTGAGGTTTTTTTTTCTTTCTTTTAACTGGTCATGTTAGTTATCTCTTTGCACATGGTTGCCCTCTCTGGGCATGAGTAGAACATATAACTAATTAAATACTATATGGGCATCTGTTAATATTAAGTAGGTAAGTTTTTGTGCCACTAAACTCCAACCCATCCTTTAACACTTGGCACAATAAAGACATTTTCCCATAGGCTTTCCAAAAAGCGACTGCACCTGTTTTAATGTATTTAAAGCAATTTTTACCCCTTTTTGGATTGGGGGTCTCACTATGTCACCCAGGCTAGGTGGTAGTGGCACAGTCATGCCTCACTGCAGTCTTTTCCTTCTGGGCTCAGGCAATCCTTCCACCTCAGCCTTCCAAATCGCTAGGACTACAGGCACATGCTACCATGCCCAGCTAAGTTTTTAACTTTTGTAGAGATGAGGTCTTGCTATGTTGTCTATGCTGGTCTCATACTCCTGGACACAAGAAATCCTCTCTCCACAGACTCCCAATGTGCTGGGATTACAGGTGTGAGCCACTGTGCAAGGCTTTGTTATCTTTGATACAGCTGAATGGCAATTACATTTGTTTGTCTGCCTTTATATGACTTTTAAAAAATGTGTTTATTGAGATTTAATTTATATATCAGAAGTTTACCCACTTTATGTGTAGATGATTTAATGATTTTTATTGAATTTATAGGATTGTGCAACCATTATCTAATCTGGTTTCAGGACATTTCCATCACCTCCAAAGTTCCTTTCACATGTGTGTGTTCACTTAAGCCCTGATGCTATCTATCCCCAGCCATAAGCAACCATTGATTTGCTTTCTTTCTCTATAGATTTGCCTTTTCTGGGCATCTCATATAAGTGAAATCATATAACGTGTTATTTTGTGTCTAGATTCTTTTACTGAGCATGTTTTTGGGTTCATCCATATTATGGCATGTATCAGTATTTTACTTCTTTTTATGATTATATAGTATTTGATTGTATTGATATGCCACATTTTAAACAAAATGTTCATCAGTTGATGGACAAATTGGATTATTTCCATTTTCTGGCTATTATGAATAATGCTGCTATGAACATTTGCATGCACATCATTGTGTGGACAAATGCTTTCAACTTTTTTGAGTGATACATGGGAGTGGAACTGCTAAGTAATTTGCCTTTCACTTTTAATTTCTTGAGAGCAGGAAACTCTCGGAGTTTTAGTATTGCCTTAGTGGTCTTTGAATTGACACATCTAGCATGCCTGCCACATAGGGGGTCTTGAACTGATCAGGAGATATATGGGACATATTCTCATGTTTTATGAGCCTTTGCCTTGTTTTTATGTACACTGTGCCCCTTCCCTCCCACTTTGAGTTTTTTGCTTTTATCTTAATTCCTTGCAATTCCAGCAAGCAATCTTAGTGGCTTTGGAGGGCCTAGATTCTTATTTCCAGCATAACCCTATGTATATGTCAGTTAGTACTTTATAAGACAATCCCACATTAACGATAATACAAAACTTATACCTTATTTACACTGTATACATATTAATACTCTATTGACTACTTTTGGTGAGAGATTTATAAGATGAACAGGATATAAATTGCCTCCTATTCAAGTGGGCTAGATAGAGCGAAAAAAGTTTTTTGGGTGTCTGATGTGGTCTATACAAACTCTCTTGAGATTCACGGTGTCTGTAACCAAGCAAAGTAAAAATATTTCCATACCAAAGTATTACCTCATTTAAATTAGGAAACAAAAAAGCCTAATATAAGAAAGTCATGCTATAAAGTTACTAATGCTGTTAAGAGCCACTTACTTTCAGTTAAGAGAGACTAGTTGAAGGTCTGAAAAAATATTCACCTAGGATAAAAGCCTCTGGATTTTCAACCTTTTTTATATACCCAAATCCTGGCTCTTACTTTACCTGCCAACTTAGAACATATTTTGGTTTGCATTATAGTTTTCATCTACAAACAACTTTCTGTGTTAGTCTGACTGGCCTATATGCTCCATTTCACTTGAAGAAATTGTTGATTTTCCTGTGGGCATTGGTGAGGTAGGCTCCTTGTTGTATATCTGACAAACCAAAAGGTATTCTGTGATCTGTGGGCAGATGTTTTTTACCATCAACCTCCCCAGGATACAAGACATGTTTTTAAGAATAGGAAATACAGTGGCCCCTCCCCCACCCACAGTTTCACTTTCTGTGGTTTCAGTTACTCACAGTACAGTGCTACAAGGTATTTTGAGAGACCACATTCAACTTTTATTAGAGTATATTGCTATAATTGCTCTATTTTATTGTTGTTAATCTCTTACTGTGCCTCATTTATGAATTAAACTTTATCATAGATATGTATGTATAGGAAAAAACACAGGGTCCAGTACTATCTGCAGTTTCAGGCATCCACTAGGCATCCTGGAACATATTCCCAGCAGATAAGTGGGGACTACTATTTCATCGTTAAATGTCTAAGTCAAAACGGGTATGGCAGCAAAAGGAATTAAATTAAATAAGGGCATGTCAAAAGGCCAAACTCATAATGCCCATATGGGTTCATTTGCTTTAGTTAGGAGCAGCACATTAATAATGTCTCAAATAGTAAAAGCATGGAATCTAGAGCCAGATGCTCGGTGTTTTTTTAAAAATAAATTCCCATTTGCATCAGGAGCAGCAGCTCACACCTGTAAGCCCAATGCTTTGGGAGGCAGCTGTGAGAGGATTCCCTGAGCCCAGGGGTTCGAGACCAGCCTGGGCAACTTGGTGAGATGCCATCTCTACAATAAATAAATAATAATAAAAAAATTAACTGGGTGTGGTAGCACGCACCTGTAGTTCTAACTACTTGGAAGGCTGAGGCCAAAGAATTGCCGGAGCCCAGCAGGTTGATGTAGGGGTGGCCGTGAGAGTGCCACTGCACTCCAGCCTGGGTGATGTAGTGAGACTTCAATTTAAAAAAAAAAAAAAAAAGGTTGGGAACGGCTGGTCTAAGTGACTGAGGGTAGCAGTGGTATTTTTCTTATTCATGGTGTCTTCAATATTTATCATATAATAGACATGTAGCAAATACTTGATACACATAACATGGGTAAGGCACATTTGGTTTTTAAATTTTTTTTTTCTTAGTAATGGAGGTCTTTTGTGGAAAAAAGTATTTATAGGCAAGTTTATTTCCTAAGTCACCCAATTCATGGATATGACCTGAACATAATATGTTTTGGAAAAGGCTGAGCAGTTTGCACAGAATAGCTGGTTTACCCCTCCTCTTTATCTTCTATGTTGTGCAATATTGCTATGATATTTATTTCATGGTTTTCCCTTTTCTAGGAGAAATAGTTGGTTTTAAAATAAGTCAACTAGGATTTTGATTAGATATTTGTTTACGTAAAATGTCATCTTTCATGATAAAGACTGTTATATTTGGAGCAACTTCAGGAGTGAGTTTTTCCTTCCCTTAGTACACTTTGCAGTAATTGGCACACAACCATTTGAGACATGGATGGGATAACATTTGGCAACAGGGTTAAGCTTATTTTGAAATTATGGTGTATTAGCATACAAACATTGCTACATTGACATTTAAATATCCATTTTATCATATTAAGGTTCCTGAAGTCATAACTCTTTTAGAAGAAGGGGGGAAAAAAGTAGGAACATCGGAACTGCACAAGTTCTACAAAAGCATATTGAAGTCACATAATGAAAAAGCGATTTTTTTAATTATGTTTCTCCATATTTGGCATTGCTGTAAATGGCTAACTAACATTTACTGCCAATTCAGTACAAATGTGTGGTTTGGTAATACCAGAACAGCAAATTTAAATGAAAAATAAAAGTTAAACATTTCCACACAAGTTTTTATAGTCTGACATTTCACTGCGTAGGTAAAAAGACATTTTTTAAACTACAGATTATTATTCAGCATGAATAAAAAACTACAACTTTTATTTTTAAACAGGAGTCACTGGTTTTAATTTTTACACATTTTAAAATTACTGTGATAAAAAATAATGAAAAAGCTTCTTAATAATGCCATACACAGTATAATATAGATTTGTCCCCATTATATAGCATTTGTTTAATATACAAAATAGAATATTGACACACTTGAATCTATATGTAGTTAAGCAAGTTATTAGAGGAGGGTATTTTCATACAGCCTTTCTTCAGAAAATAAAATCTTTCAAATATTTTCTAGAGAGAAGCTAGTCCTTTCCTGAAAACCTGGTCACTAACCCTTGGTGGACCAGGCTGACTGAAAATAGTCTGGAAAATGATGAAACTTCTATCTAAAGTGGTTTAAAGTGTCTTCCTTACACTTTTATTTTCCCTTCCAACATGGAAACCAGGCACATAAAAACATTCATCTACAGCTACAGTCGTTGGGGTGACCAACCAAGATTGAAATCTCATTGAAGGCTGCCAGGGTTCTTGAATTTTGATAGGTCACAGTATAATACTATTGTTCATTTTGCGATCACGTAGTTTCAGGATATTTAAATGGGAACTAAAATGATATGACGAGTAAAATTGGAGCTGCCCGCTCCCCTCTCCCCAACTCTGAAGTGAGGCTAGCTGTCCTTCATGTGCAGGCCCAGAGTTCATCCTGTGCTGATTATCAAACACTTCAGAAACACTGATCATGTTACTTTGCCTTTTGGGGTGGTCAATTTTTTGTTTTGTTTTGTTTTTGAGAAGGCAGGTGCTCTTTTAGATTCCCCTCCAATAGTTTTAGACAATGGGGTACATATACTCCAAAAGGGTTATGTCTTTAACTGTTCAGTTCTGCTTGTATAGAGTCCCGCAGGAATGCCTGAAAACACGAGTGGGTCACTTGTTTCCACCAGTAATTAAAAATACTTTTTCGGATTTTTTGTGAGTCACCAACTGTCACTGAAGTTACTACAAGCTTCATAGTTTGGGATGGCAAGATGCCACATATTAGAAAATGAAGTTGCTTTCAAATAAGACCTTATCTTTTCTTACTTAAATCCATACTACTACTCAAACATAATTAAGATAACTTTCTCCTTTCCCACGTATTCTAAAAGGGCACAGCTTCTTTTTCTGTTTAGTGAAAAGCCTCCTATAGTTGTATGGATGTCAGTTGACTTCCTATTGACAACAAAGTGCACATATCCTTTTTTGCTGAGCTCTATTTTTTTAGTGCCAAGGTTGTTGGGACTAAAATTAAGATTAATGTGTTATAATGCTTTCTGGTTTTAACCATATAACGTTCTATAAATGAATAATAATCTGCTTTTTAGAGGCTCTTTTGAAACTTAACACTGTCATTGTTATTAATATTCAAGTGGTATTCCTTAGGCACCATAAATTTCACATCCAGCTGGGTTACAAACCATCTTAAAACATTACATTCCCTTTTAGAGAGCATTTAAAAAGCAAATGATTATGTTTTTATTAAATAATTTCTCCAAAATACTGAAAATAACATAACATTCAAAAAGCATTCAAAGAAAACATAAATGTGTCTTCATTTTATTTGGAAATGAACTCTTGTAGGATAGAAAGGAATTAGTGTATTATTGGCAACCTATGAGATTCTGCACTATTTACAATTGCTGGTACCTCTAATGCATATTATTGCCAAACTTCTAAAGCCTCTGTTTTCATTAAATTGTTGGAGAGGCTGTATGTGAAAGTAACCCGCTATTAGACGGTGCCTGTAAGTATGTAAACATCACCTTTCTTTCTCCTCTTTACACACTTGAGCACAAGGAAAGATTTACTGAAATAAACCTGAGCTGACAGGCTTACTGTTGGAATGGGAGGCAATTACTTCCTCTGTGATCTGATTGGGTTAGAGCCTCAGCAACCTTCACTGCACACAGGGCCAGTCACTATCTCCCTCTTTCCCTAGAGCAAACAGGTTGGGTTTCTGAGACCACTGCTGCCTGTATGAATGCTTGCACAAACTATAAATCTTATAGGTTATCCATCAACATTTCTTTGACCCCTACAAAAAATATATAACATGTCATGATAAAACAATCTCATCTAAAAATCATCCTTATTTTACACTATACAAGCTATTTTACAATCATTTTAATAAATTGCATGTAAAGCTGCAGTAGCCCTTCCCTTCCCAGATTAGTGAATACCAATATGATATATATCTGAAACTATAACTAAATATAAAAATATATTAGAAGTTTCATATTTTTAATGTTAGATTTTGAGTTTTCTACTACACAAATAATTTGGCCACCATGAATAGAAATCAGATTTCTTGTGGCTTAGTAAATATGTTAAGTTTTGAGTTTACAGAAACTTGGAAAGGTGCACACAGAAAGGGCTACTACAGCTTCTATTTTGCTTAAAACAATAATTTCAACAGTGAAGAAATTCACAGGACTTGTGTTAAACTCTATGGCACACGTAGGGATTTGTAGTTTTACAAACATGGATGTCTAACATACAGTTTTAAATCACAAAAATCAGTAGCTGAGCTTTCCTGTACCACCAGGAAAGACTGACCAATTGGTGACAGATGGGAATGTGAAAATGGGTGTCTAGCCACTTTTACCATTTTAGAGATTTCGCTTGAGTAGAGTTTAGTGAAAAGAATTACTTGCTCTGATTAAGTCTCTCGGTGTGTTACAACTGGTTATCTGGAATCATAACTTTTAAGAAGTTACATAGACTACTTCAAAAGGTCCCCAAAGACATTAGTTTACCAGCTTTTCTTGCCATCTAATCATTGCAGAGATAGGGAATTTGGTATAAACAGGGCCTCTTGTTAGTATTATTCTTATTTAAAAAATTAGTCTTTTGCAACCATCATCCACAGTTTACTCAGCAGGTCACTGGACCAGGTGCTCTATACCAGTTAGGACAGTTAATTTGCACAACCTATATATTTCTCCACTGAAGCAGATATATACAAAATATGAGCTTTTTTTTTTTTGACAAGAATACTGGAGATTTGAGTCAATTTTTATGGTCGTCTGATAGCTAAGGGCCATCAGGTTAGAAGCACCAACCCATTTTCACACAGAAGATTAACGTTTAGAGTTTACTTAGGAAAGCTATGAACTAGCTGCCCATCTTAAACAGCTATACAATAACTTGAATACAAAAATTATGTAAGAAAAAATGAGCAAGCATAGTTTACTGAATATAAAGGAAATTGTTAAAACCAGACAGTAATAGCTATAAAAGGCACAACTTCCCTTTTCTGATATACACTTGTAAACTTTTTTCAGGTTTCCATGCATAAATCAAAAATGCTATCCTAACTATACAGGGGAAAATACACCAACAAAAAGTCTAGAAAATTTTATCCAGCCAACTGTGAAAGTATGAGCAGAAAGTTCATCACAAAGACTTTGGGCACTGGTGGTTTAGGTGCCATCCTTCTCTGACAGTGGAGATTACCTCCACTTGATTTTTTTCTAATTTCTGGGATACACCAACTAATGAATTTCACTGTATACTTTCCCATCACTGAATAGTGATGACTCAACTGTTTTTGTTGCCAAGTCTTGGCCCTCTATAAACCACATGTAGTGCGTATTTCAAACAAAACAAAAACAGACAAAAAGAAAAAAAAATAGAACAAAACCTCTACAGGACAAATCGATAGTTTGTACAATAAAAGCTATAAATTCAACTTTCTTTAAGGCAACCTTTCTTATTAAGGCAGTCACTTTTGATGAAACAGAAGTTTTTTGATATTTCCATTTGAATATTTTGGTATCTGATTGGTGATGATTTCAGCTAACATCTCTGGGAATTCAATACTCATAGTCTTATCCAAAAATGTTTGGAAGCAATAGGTAAGGAGACTTTCTACCACCTGCAAGAGAAAAGATAGTAACGATTAGGCTTCAAAACCGGTAAGTGGAAACATCTCATGTTTGTTGTCCTCTATTTGAAAAAAAAAAAAAAAAAAAATCTAACCTAGAATACATCAGTCTCTACTGGAATTCCCCAGGTAAAAAACAGTTAAATAAAATAAGCACTTAAGTACCAAAGACATTTATTTTTTAGAGTTGGAATCTCACTCTGTTGCCCAGGTTGGAATGCAATGGCATGCTCACAGCTAAAATTACCTATATAATTTCCATATCACCTGCTGGGCTCAAGTGATCCTTCCACCTCAGGCTTCCAAGTAGCTTGAACCACAGGTACACCACCACACCCGGCTAATTATTTGATTTATTGTAGAGATGAGGTCTTGCCAAGTTTCCCAGGCTGGTCTTGAACCCCTGGCCTCAGACAATCCTCTCACCTCCACCTCCCAAAGTGCTATACTGGGAGCCACCACACCTGACCCAAAACACATTTTAAATTCCTTTAATTACAAGTAGAATTATATGGAATGAAGTATTTTATGAATAACTGCGGTACTGTAATATGTGATGGATTAATCATACCAACTTAAGGGATTATTTAACTTAGTGAATTAATTACAAAAAACAGGGAATTCTACCTTTTTAAAAATAGTGCTATTAAATTGTGCAATAACATGATGATTTTATATGCACATGACTAGATGAAAGAATACAACTGGCTTAGGAAAAACATCTGCAAAACTGAAGTACACAAAATGAACTCAAACTATCAGCAACATCACAAACTGGTTAAAAAAACTGGTATTTAATTATAATTATATACACTAATCAAAACATATTTTATATCCTAGAAAATTCTTTTTATACAAGGGGGGACACCCGCTAAAAAAACCCAGAATTATCTTTTTGGAGGATGGGCCTCTTATAGTACAGGTTTCCCCCCTCTAGGTAGGTGTTCTAGGACCCTATTAGCATCAGTATACTCGCTAGCATTGTTGTGAGAGACCGTGTTCAGCTTCAGTGAATTTCATTTTGGAGATTTTTTCCAACATGTTTGCCCATTTCAAGGTGGGTGATTCATGAATGCACCTACCCATACTGTGCTGATTGTTCTGCAGTTTTTGACCCAAACCAGAATGACCTGGATTCCCCACCCTCCCTATTCACCCGATCTTGCCCTGAGCAACTTTTTTTGTTTCCCTGGATACACGAAGCCCTCAAAGGGAAACGTTTTGCTGATGTGGAAAAGGTGAAACAAAAAACAGCAGATGCACTAGAAGGCATCCACATTGACAAGTTCAAAACTGTTCTGAGCAGTGGAAAAAGCATCTGGATGAGTGTATTACATCAAACAGAGTACTTTGAAGGTGACTAAGGTGCAAACATGTAAGAATAAATACACAATTTTAAATAAATAAATAAATTCCGGGCTTTTGGGGGGTCCTCCTTGTATTTGGCTTTATGTTCGACACTTACTTCATGCATAGAGTCCAAGAGTTTTGTCAGTTGATAAAACCGCTGCCAGTTTTGACTGGAGTTTCCTTCTCTCTTGACAATGGCTTTTCCCAGCTCTTTGATGTAGGTCATTCTAATTTCATCAAACAGCTCTTGGCTCTTCAAACCATCCTTAGGAACTAAAAGGTTAAGATGGAGTCAATTCAAGGATTTTCTTGCTTGAACCTTTCATACAAGCAAAACAGTTGTTTACAATAGCCCACTTCAGGACTTATGTTGTCTTTATACTCTTAATGTATTCTAAAATATAAGGATTTTCACAGTATTATGAAACTATACCCAAGAGAGAATATGGGATAATAGAGAATTGGAAGATTTAACCTTGAGTAAATTACTTGGTTTCTTATCTATAAAATGGAACTGGTGATGGTAACTTCCTCCCTAATTCACAAAGCTATTTTGAAGAGCAGATGAAATAATACAGCGATTATTTAGGTAATTTTAGCTGTCATTCTGCATTTGAGCTTAATTCTAGTATTGAGACTGAAGGCTTAACAACTGTGTTTATTTCACCAGTTACATCTTAGAATATCTGTGATATCACCAGTTAATTAGAACTTCAAGGTCAGCATGCAATACATTTTTAAATGTATTAACATATTGAGTTGATATTTCAATCTAAAAAGAACATGATTTTTTAATGTAGTTTATAGATATTCCTTACTAGGGAGCCAATATCTGCCTTTCTATATATACTTCAAAATACTGAAAGTAGCCCATGAATTCTGGATTGTAAAATTGGTATAAAATCAATTTTTTGTATATCACTCAAAAATTGGTATTAGTAAGGACAGTGAACAGAGGGTTAATCATGTTTTCACTTAATCTTGCAGAGATGATGACTTTTGTAAAAGTACTGCATTTCTCTGGTTCTGTGTTAACAATGGTTAGAGGGGGGAAAAAGGTCAAAATGTAAGAAAATCTAAATGTTGAATACAAAGATAGATTTCTTGAATTTCAGAACTTCTCAGAGATATTATTTTGTACTCTCCAATGAGGAAAACATTGTTTTCTAAACTTTACTGCTGCGAACATTTTAGAAAATGCTGGGATAGAGGAAAAGCAGTGGCTCTTAGGAGTTTTGAAAAGTCTTTATTTCTTACTTGTCATGTAGACTTGAGTTTAACCTTCTTGAGCCTCTATTTCCTCCTATTTTTCACTGGAATATGCTTAGAATTAGACCAATATTTTGACAATATTTTTATACCATAAAGCATTCCCTGACACTTCTAAGATGTCAGTATTAAAGCAAAAATGAAGACCCTTTAATCAGGAGTGATAAAGGTATACCATGTTAACAATGGGTTAATTTTATACATTATTATAGAAAATATAATTATTGCAAAATTTTAAAATTGCAATTGCTTATTTATAATTTTTTCCCTGCTGGTAAGTCCTAATTCTAAAATTAATTATGGTAAAGCCCTATTCAATGTCTATATTTAAAAGAACTTCATCCATCTCAAATTTCTGGGCTAATGACATTTTTCCCCCCAACTTTTAAAATGTTAAAACCACTAGCATTACATCTACTTCTGGCTGTATGGAGTAAGTATAGTCTGCAGTTTCCCTCCTGCTATAAAAACTGGACAACTAATTTCAGTTACTGGGCAAAAAGCAGTGCATGATTATGGTCCCTGGAAAAAGGGAAACAAACCAGATAAACCATACCTGGTCAGGAAAAAGATGCCTTAATCCTAGGCATTTTTGTTCGAAAGTAATGATCATCTTGCAGTGTAGGAAAGGAACCCAGAGTCCAGCAATTTTGCTGGGTTGAGGAGAAAGAGATTAAAGGTTGGGAAGGCCCAAGTAGCTAGCATTTGTGGGTCACAGTACAGGAAAAGAAGAAAGTATACAAAGAAAGCCTTCTAGAAATTTACAGTCTTTGGCAGTGCAGAAATCCCCTGGAATCTTTGGCTGAATATAAATTTGTGCATACTTAAGGTGAAATCCCATGAGGTCATACAAGAACAACTCTCAAAAAAAAAAAATTACTGGGAAGAACAGCATTATTTCTCAAGTGTACCTAGAACACTTATCAATTAATTATAATATAGGATGTAAAATAAGTCTGAATAAGTCCAGGAGGATTAAGTCATACAAAGAATGCTCTCTGACAAAAATGAAATTAAAATGGGAGCCAATAACATATATCTGAAAAAAATTCCACAAATGTTTGGAATGTAACAACATACTTTTAAGTAATCCATGGACTAAAGAAGAAATCAAAAGAAGAATTGAATAGAAATATAACATATCAAAATATGGGATGCAGTGCTTGAAAAACATATGGCAAAAAAAGCTGTTATTAGTAAAGATCTCAATTATATAAACTTCCACCTTAAAAACTAGTAAAGAAAATGAAAAACTAGTAAGCAAATTAGGCACAAAATGGAAAGATGAAAAAGAGTATAAATCAATAACTAAGAATATGTACGACAAAGAAAATCAATACAATGGTGGTTCTATGAAAATATCAGTAAAACTGAAAAACCTTTAGCCAGACTGATAAGGAAGCAAAAGCAAGAATACTGGAAGTACCATGTCAGGAATGAATGAAAGGGGCTAGCACTATAGATTCTAGAGCCATTAGGATGATACTAAGGGGATATTGTGAATAACTTTATGAACTTTGTAACATTTAAATGAAACAACTTCCTTCATCTATACATAACACACACACACCACACACACACACACACACTCTCTCTCTCTCTCTCTCTCTCTCTCTCTCCAACAAAGCTCACTCAAGAATAAATGAATAGCCAGAAAAAAAATTGATGGACTTTTACTTGAAAATCTTACTATAGAAAAGGCTCCAAACCAAGATGGCTTACTGGTGAATTTTACCAGACACTTAGGGAAGAAATAATACCAAATTATCACAAAACCACACAAACACATTATAAAAAAGCTATAGAATTACAGTCCTCATGGATTTAGATGCAAAAATACCTAGCAAAATTTTAGTACACTGAATTCAGCTACATATAAAAATAATACTATATCAGTGATCAAGTTGTGTATCCCAGGAATGCAAGGCTGATCAAACATTTTAAGATAAAATTATATATTTCATCATTTTAAGATACTAAAAATGAAAAACTATATGATCATTTTGATGCAAAAATGCATAAGACAAAAATTTCATTGTTTTTTGCTATGAGCATGGGCATTGGAAGAATATGGACAGTGCATTCTAGGATAGTGAATAATAAAAAGACAATACCAAGCACCGACAAGGATGCAGGTAAAGTGGAATCCTTATGCATTCTAGTGGGATTCTAGAACTAGAGAGAAAATCAGCAAAGGCACAGAAAACTTGGAACAAATCAACTTGACCTGCCATTTATAAAAGTCTAGTCAACAATAGCAGAATATATTTTTTTCAAGTGCTCATGGAATACCCAGGATAGACCATATGCAAAGGCATAAAAAAGTCTTAGAAAATTTAAATAGGTCAGAATCATTCAAAGTATCTTCTATCTCAATGGAATTAAATTAGAAATAAACAGGAGGAAATGTGTGAAATCCCCAAAGAGTTGAAATTAAACAATTATAATTACAATTATAATTATAAATAATGAGTAAAAAAATTACACAGGAAGATACAAAATATAGTGAATTGAATGAAATGAAAATACATAAAAATTTAAAGTATGTGGCTAAAGTAGAACATGGAGGAAAAATTTCAGCTTAAAAAATTATATATATATAAAGATATATCTCTATATAAAATCTATCTATCTATCTATCTATCTATCTATCTATCTATCTATCTATCTATCTATCTATCTATCTATCTCCCAAAAACCCAGAGTTATTTTTGGGAAAATGGGCCTCTTGTAGTATAGGCTTCCCCTGCAAGTGTTCTAGGAACCCTTGGCTGGCATCAGTGTGCCAGCTGGTGTTATTGTGAGAGGCTGCATTCGGCTTTAGTGAATTTCTTTGTGGCCAACAGGTGACTGGTTCTTCCACCATGACAAAGCACCTGCCCTCATTGCTCTGAGTGTTCAGCAGCTTTTGACCCAAAATGGCATGATCCTCCTGCCCCACTCTCCCTATCCACCCCGTCTCATCCAGAGTGACTTTTTGTTTCCCCAAATGAAAAAAGTCCTCCAAGGGAAACATTTTGCCGATGTGGAAGAGGTGAAACAAAAACCACAGAAGCACTAGAAGGCATCAAAATTGTTGAGTTCGAAAACTGTTTTGAGCAGTGGAAAAAGAGTCTCAATAGGTGTGCTGCATCAGATGGAGAGTGCTTTGAAGGCTGAAGTTTAAACATGTAAGAATACACAACTTTTTATACATTCTGTGTTTTTGGATTCCCATATATATATGAATAAAAGCAAGTCCCCAACTAAAAATGGAAGCGTCTACCTTAAACTAGATAAAGAGGAGTAAATCCAAAGCAAGCAGAAGAAAATAAATAATAATAATCAGAGTGAAAATCAATGATGCAGGAAACAGAAAAACATTAGAAAAAAAATCAGTGAAATTGAAAATTTGTTCTTTGAAAAGATTAACAAAATTGATAAACCTTTAACTAGACTGGCCACGAAAAAAAGGAGACACAAATTACCAAAATTTAGAATGAAAGAGGTGGTACCACTGTGGATTCTACAAAATTTAAAGGATATTATAAACAACTTTATGCTTAAGTTAGACAATTCAGACAAATCGACCAATTCACAGAAAGACACAAATTAAAAAACTAAGTCAAGGAGAAATAGAAATTCTGAATATATCTGTAACAAGTAAGTAAGTTGAATTAGTAATTAAAAATCTATAAAGACCAGACCCAGATGACATCACTGGTGTAAGACTATCAAACATTTGAATAATAAATAAAATCAATACTATACAAAGTCTTTAAGAAAATAGAGAATACATTTTAAAAAGCCAAGTATTACCCTGATAACAAAGCCTGGAAAAGATATCACAAGAAAGCTATAAAACAGATATAGCTATAAAACAGATATAAAAATGATTATTTAAAGTATTACTAGATATTAACAAACCAAATCTAAAACATATATAAAAAAGATTATATACTATGATCTAGTCAGCAAACTAGATCACAAGCCTTTTCAAGCCATCTGCCTGGTTTTGCAAAAAG